TACATGAGTTAGGTTTCTGATATTAAATTTATAAAATTAAAATTAAGAACATCACATTAATTTTTGCTTAAATACTACACTGTTTCCACTTCTGAAAGTACTTAGCTAATGTATTTCCCAACAGAACAAAAATGCATGCAAACACATTTTCATTCTAAGAATAGTAAGTCTAAAGTTTGAGGCTGACACCTATGACACTGAGATCCCATATCAGAGCACTGGTTTGAGTCCCAGCTGCTCCACTTCTGATCCAGCTCCCTGCTAATACACCTGAGAAAGCTTAGTTAGTATGACTCAAGAGTGCTTTGGCTCCTCCTACCCATGTGAAAAACCCAGATTGAAGTTCCAGGCTCCTGGCTTCAGCCTGGCCCATTCCTAGCCATTGCAGCCATTTATGGGATTAACCAGTAGATGGGAGATCTCCCCTTCTCTCTCTTCCTCTCTGTTACTCCACCTTTCAAATAAAGTAAACCTTTTTAAAAAAAAAAAAAAAGTAAGCTTAAAATTCTTGATCACATGGACCACTGCTGATGGCTAGTCTTCTGCTATTTATGAAAACCAGAGTCTAAAAAGAAAAAAACTGATCAACTTGAACACATTAAAGAAAAATGACAGAAAAAAAATACAAAGGATGAAAAAACCACACTGTGTGACAAACATATACAGCTCATGAAAATTAAAAAGAAAAACTCAGAAAACAGAAAAACATATGACTAATTAACAAAAAAGAAATAAAAATAAAGAACACATTACAAATATTGCCAACTTAGGATGGACAACAGCCTGACAGTTAGGATACCACTTGGGGGCTAGCCCTATGGCATAGAAGGCTAAGCCTCCACCTGTGGTGCCGGCATGCCACATGGGTGCCGGTTCATGTCCTGGCTGCTGCTCTTCTGATCCAGCTCTCTGCTTATGCCAGTGAAGATGGCACAAGTGCTTGGGTCCCCACAACCATGTGGGAGACCTGGAAGAAGTTCCTGGCTTCGGATAGGCTCAGCTACAGCCGTTGTGGCCACTTGGGAAGTGAACCAATAGATGGATGACCTCTCTGTCTCTCCCTCTGTGTGTATGTGTAACAGTGCTTCTCACATAAATAAATAAATATTAAAAAAAAAAAAAAAAAGATACTGCTTGGAATGCCCACATTCCACAACATCATTTTAGAGTGCCTGGGTTCAAGTCCCAGTTCCACTCACAATTCCAGCTTCCTGCTAATCAGTAGGCACCCTGAGAGGCAACAAGTGCTGGCTCAATTACTTGGGTCCCTGCCACCCATGTGAGATACTCAGATTGAGTTTCAAATTCCCAACTTTGGCCTGGTCCAGCCCTATTATGAATATCTGAGGAATAAACCAGCGTAATGGAGACCTCTCTCTATCATTATCTCTGTCTCTCTCTCTTTCAAATAAGTAAATTAAATAACATCAAGAACACCCATAAAGAAATTAAAATCAATAAAAGACTTTGTTTCTCAACTAGGCACGTAACAAAAATTAAAAAGAAGTTCAAAATACTATTGGTAAAGACGCTGGAGGAAACCCATTTTCACCTATGACTATGTGACTGCTTAATACAACAAGATACATAAAAAGCAAAATGGGGGGTAAGAGGTCATTGGTTAAGATGTTGCTTGGAATGCCCACATCCTATATTGTAGTGCCTGAGTCCAAGTACTCACTTAGCTTCCAATCCTGCTTCCTGCTAATGCACGCCCTCAGAGCAGCAGTGATGGCTCAAGCAACTGCCACCACAAGGAAGACCTTGCTGGAATCTAGCCCTGGCACTGCAGACATTTGAGAGGTGAGCCAGCAGATAAAGATATCTGTGTGTGTGGGTGTGTACCTTTCAAAGAAAAGTTCAAAAAAATTTAAAAATTTTAAACTGCATATAACTCTTTCACCTGACAATTCTACTCTTTGAAAGTTATTTTAAATAACTAATTAGTATATTTAAATAGTACAAAAAATGGCACATGTAAAACTTCACTACAGCATTGTTAAGAGCAATAAACTTAAAAAAAAAACTCAAAGTCCATGAATAGGAGCCTGGTGAAATATATTGAGCTATATATAAGATTTACAATGCAACATTAGAAGAGCTTTTAAAGAAAAGGGTAGATACAGCTATATGGGTTATGTGAAAAGATTTTTAAGAGACACTGATTGGAAAAAAACAAAGTTCAGACTAGTACTTGCAATATGAAGCTATTCAACTTAAATATTTAAGTTCATATATTTATAAGTTATCTATATAAAAGTTTATAGACATTAAATATATATTGCACATATTTAAATGTACTAAAAATCCAAAAGGACACAGTTAACATTGTTAATCTGGTTAGTGTGATTAGGATTGGAAGTGAAAAGAAGACTTTTCTTTAATAGTCTCATTTATAAAGACATTATTTATATAATTACTTATATAATCAGTATCTTTAAAAATAATAAATAGTAAGAAAGATAAACAAATATAAGTAAAATATAAATAAAACCAATTCAACTAATTTCTCCAATTACCATTCATATCAGACCAAGATATTTAACAGCTGTTACAACTGCTCCATAATCTGGTGGAGAGACGGAACTATGGATGGTAATTTTATAATAAACTCTTAAGTTTCTTCCTGTCCTCACTGAAAATGCCTTCCTTCTTGCAGCTTATATGTCCTTCTTCAACTCTTATGCCTCTGATTCATCAACTTTTTTCATATTCCATCAAAATAACTTTTACAAAGGATAAAAATTTTTCCATAATTAGTATATAAAAGAAAAGGCCTCTTTTTGTTTTCAAAGCCAATCCATGGTTTTCCTTTTAACTTTATTTGAACAGATAATGCTAAATGGTTATCAGATGACAGGAAGTTTAAACCTAAGCTCTGCAAGTAACTATATAATATCATTAATAGCCACAAGAAGAACTAACATTTTTGCATTATTCACATAATAATAAGATACTATACTAACTTGTTCATATAAATATTAACTCATGCAACACCCCATTAAATAGACTGTATTCACACCTTGCTTTAAGATAAGGAAACTAAAGCACACCAAGATCAGGTGTCAACTTCTTGTTAAAGATCACAGGCCCAGGAAATGATTATTGTTACCAACAAAGTTGACAGATAACATAAAATACACTTGGTTAAATCTGAATTGGGGATTAAAAAAAATTACCATAAGTATGTTCAAATAATAAAAGGAGCATACCTGGCAACTCTTACTCATAACATTGTGTGAGTCATAACCTCAGTTCCCTGAGTTTCTGCATCCACAAAATGCAATAGTGAGATTGTGATTTCTTTCACTTTTAAAATCAGTTCTTGGATTTTTTTCTAGTTATAAAATCATTGGTTCTAAAACTCCCTAGAAATAGTACTTAAAAAAAAAAAGACCAACATATTCCCATGGTAATGTTCTAACAATGCTTCGCAAAATCATTGTGGGTAATTTTTTTTTTTTTTTGAAAGAGTGACAGAGAGAGAGGGAAAGACAGAGAGAGATTTTCCATCCACTGTTTCATTCTCCCAAAGGCCCATAACAGCCAGTACTGGGCCAGACTGGGCTTCTCATAAGTGGGGAAGGAGTCACAGACTTTCTCTAATCCCTACCATGTTCATTTAGTCAATACAACTGGATTTCTCCTTCAGCTTCCAAGGACGAAAAGTCTTGACTTAAACTAGAGTCCATTTAATTGGAGCTCCATCATTCAGTCCAGCCTTTGTCAGTGCCTCCTATAATATAGGTAAGGCTACCACATGCAGTGCCAGCACCCCATATGGGCACCAGTTCAAGTCCAGGTTGCTCCACTTCCAATTCAGCTCCCTGCTAATGTGCCTGAGAAAGCAGCAGAAGATGGCCCAAGTTCTTGGGCTCCTGTACCCACATGGGAGACCCAGATAAAGCTGCTGGCTCCTGGCTTCAGCCTGGCCCAGTCCTGACAATCCAGCCATTCTGGGAATGAACAATTTCTCTCTCTCTCTCTCTGCCTCTCTATAATTCCTTCAACTAAATAAATACATCTACAAAAAATAATAAAGTTACACACTGTGCTTCAGATGGAGTCCTTAACAAAAACAATTTACTAAATTCATGATCCCAAACCACAATATTTGCCTGAATTACTACCACTGGTTTCTGTTTTTTCCTAATACTTCATTTTACATGTCTCACTCATATGGCAATACTTTTCACATATTATAATGTCCACTAAAGTATAGTTTGTCATTATTCTTTGGACATTTTTCTTTATTCCCATCTCCAATAAGACTCGCCCTATGGCTTAATCAAAATTTGCCAGATCTGATTCTACTCAATCTGGGTTTCCTTATCTTCTGACAAAGCCCTGTGTAAAACAGTAAGTGCTACCTGTTTGCCTTATCATTACACATACAACCATGATTCTACCTATATTTACTTTTAAAACTCTACCATTACCTTTAAATTTTATCAATTGTCCAAAGTGGATTATTTCTTCCTATGTAAAACAACAACATAACTCATGCTTTCCTCTATAGGATTTCTGGCATATGCTTGTCATTTCGTATCTGGACTGTGGTAGCATATCTTCCTTCACTTTCCCAGATCTCCTGTAGACATATGGTATTTACATTTACAATTAAACTTAACAATGAGCTAATTTTCTTAGAAAGTAATATGGCATTAGCAACAAAATCTACTAAAATATTTCCTGCACACATCCTTTTAAAAGTCTAGCTTGTTCTGCCTTTTAAACTGGAAAAAAGCAACAAAATCTGAGCAAATATAGCAGCTGAATTTTTTTCAGCTCCTGGTAAAATAAAATTGTGAAATGAAATACAATTCATAAAAACTACTGTACTGCCAAGTCTTTATATCTTATCTCTCCCATCAATTTCAAGAAATTGGAGAGTAATAAACAGTTAATAAAATAACGTATTCTAAATATACAGGTCAGTTCTTTGACTCCTCAGAGTGTTAAAACTCATTTACCAGTTTTAAAAACAAATGATAAAATACCCAGCAAATGTAGACTTTGTGTCTTGCAGATATTCTCTTTTCGGAGGGTCATCTTGCAAACTTTCAGGGTGTGATTTTTCTTTCACGTCTTCTGAAATGTGTCCACAGTCAATGCTGCTGATTTCTGAAAGCTTTTGATCTGAATGTTTCTTGCCTCCTTCACTTCCATCAGATCCACTCAATGATGTTAAAATTTTCTCACTGTTTTCGATAGGTTTTCGAAAACCACAACGCAAAGAACCCTCAGCTGCCCATGATGTAGATGAATGAGATGGTTCCAAATTTCTGCTCTTGCTGTGAAATGACAAGTCTTCATCATCAGAAGGTCTTAAGAATTTGGGTCTCAAATTCCCAGAAGAAAACTCTCGATTTTGCCTTGGAACAGAATCTCTCCTATATGTTTCTAAAGATTCAGATCTCTTATCTTTTTCATCCCCAATAAATTTATCTTTACTGCTACAATTTGCAATATCTGTTGCATTGTATCTATCCTTTGAACTTTTACTGTATTTTACAAAGTCTGATTTTCTACTTTCTTGATTATTTTGTGTTATATCTGAATATGCTGGTTTCCTCCACCGTTCTCTTCTATAATCTTCTTTTTTGGATGCAATTTTTTCAGCTTCTTCTAATTTCGACTGAAATATTTCCATTGACTATAAAGGAAAAAAAATTAAATAACGTATCTAAAATTAAGAAAGGCTCAGTGACTTGCCCCAACATACCACTGTGTTTATCACTTCCAAGTGACAGAATGAAAAAAAAGTTTTCAGGTTGGGGGGAAAGACCCAGACAATCATCTTGCACATCTTTGACAGGCAGAGAGACAGCTACGGAGAAAGAGAAAGAGCTCCCATCTGCTGGTTCACTCCCCAAATGTTTGCAACCACAGGGCCTTGGCTGGGCCGCCTAGGGCCAAATCCAGGAGATAGGAACTCAATTCCAGGTCTCCCACATGAGCGGCAGGAACTCCATTACTGGAGTCATCAATACCACTTCCTGGAGTCTATATCAGCAGAAAAGTAGAGTCAGGAGCCAGAGCCAGGTATTAAATCCAGGTACACTGATGTAGCATCACTGATGTAGCATGCAGGAATCTTTTTTTTTTTTTTTGACAGGCAGAGTGGACAGTGAGAGAGAGAGAGACAGAGAGAAAGGTCTTCCTTTTGCCATTGGTTCACCCTCCAATGGCCGCCGCGGCCGGTGCGCTGTGGCCGGCGCACCACGCTGATCCGAAGGCAGGAGCCAGGTGCTTCTCCTGGTCTCCCATGGGGTACAGGGCCCAAGCAATTGGGCCATCCTCCACTGCACTCCCGGGACATAGCAGAGTGCCCCTGAAAGAGGGGCAACCGAGACAGAATCCGGCTCCCCAACCGGGACTAGAACCTGGTGTGCCGGCGCCGCTAGGCTGAGGATTAGCCTATTCAGCCACGGCACCGGCCATGCAGGAATCTTAACCATTAGGCCAATGCCCACCCCTAAAATGAAAACTTTGAAAACAGATAGCCCCATAGACCAAAGGCCCTGCTCTAATACAAAAATAGAAATCAGAGAACATTAAAGATATAAACTTAAAAATAATAATAAATAGGAGCAGGTTTATGACACTGCAGTTAATATACCACTTGAGATGCCTACAATCCTATATCAAAGTCCCAGCTTCACTTCTGATTCCAACTTCTTGCCAATGAGCACCAGGTGAGAGAATGGGGGATGACTCAAGCAGTTTGGTCTCCAACTCACATGGGAGACCCAGAATTGAGTGTTGTCAACACTTAGGGAATTAACCAGCTCATGAAGATCTCTCTATGCCTGTCTCTTTCCTTGCCTCTGCCTTTCATATAAATAAAAATAAATAAATGAAAAAAATTTTAATTAGTTTCTACTGGTAGTGGAATTCAAAAGGACTATATTGTTAAAACACACAATAAAAGAGATTCATAAACACACAAACATACATAAAATGCTCCTATGAGAAAACAGAGGGATCATTGTTGTGGCATAGCGGGTAAAGCTTCTGCCTGCAACACTGGCATCCCATATGGGCACCAGTTCAAGTCCTGGCTGCTCCACTTCAGATCCAATCCTCCTGATTGCTTGGGAAAAGCAGTGGAGAATGGCCCAAGTCTCTGGGCCCTTGCCTCCCATGTGAGACACCCACAAGAAGGTCTTGGCTCCTGCCTTCAGCCGGGCCCAGCCCCACCCATTATGACTACTTGGGAGATGAACCAGCGATAGAAGATCTCTCTGTCTCTTGTCTGACTCTGCATTTCAAATAAAATAAATCTTTAAAAAAAAAGGAGAAAACAGAATCATTCAAAAACAAGGACTAATTAATGAAAAACTGTACCCCAAAAAATGCTCAGATACACTTATTACAATAGAAAGTGTTGAAAACCAAATTGGCCTAGAAATTCTCTATACTTTAGGAAAAGATGAAAAATAGATATAAATTCTAAGAAAAAAGATATATGGACAATTGATTTTAGTGAATTTAATATGCATGCACTAGTAATTTCAGAAGGAAGAAGCAAAACTAGAAGGGTCTATTCAGAGTAGCCGTGAGTGGGAAAAGAGGTTTGGAAAGATTTATACATAAAACCCTAGTTTCTGAATTTCAAAACTCAAGAAAAAAATCCTTCACAAATACTAGATCATGGAAAGGTGTGCCTAAGTGTGAGCAAGCATACAAACGAGGGTACACATATTAACTGCAAAGGAATGAAAGTAAAACTGCTACCACGTTTTTATCTATAATATAATACTTAAATGGTCAATGAGATAAAGATAAAATTTTTAAAAATATTATTAGGCTATAATTCTCCATAAATATTTAAATTCACAGTCAAACTAACCTTCCTTGATATACACAACAGAAAAAAAATCTTCAAAAATGCAAAGAATCAAAAGACATACCACTTCACTTACTACTTCTAAACTTTAAAAAAACAGTGTTCAAGAGACAGGCATCTAGCCTAGCCGTTAACACGCCAATGTCCTACATCAGGGAGCCTAGGTTTGATTCCAGCTCCAGCCCCTAATTCCAGCTTCCTTTGAATGCAGACCCTGGAAGGCAGCAGTGATGGCTCTAGTAACTGGGTTCCAGCCACCTGCAAGGGAGACCTGTACTGAGTTCCCAGCTCCCAGCTTTAGACCCAGCCACTGCTGGCATTTGAGGAGTGAACAAGTGGGTGGGGGCACTCACTCTGGCTTGCTCACTGCTTCTCAAATAAATAATTTTTTTAAAAAACTAAAGAACTACCAAAAAAATTTTTGAATAAATACAATTTTAAAGTTATTTGATGCTTAAACCAAACTTTACATTACTTAGGGCAAAGAAAAAAAAAGAGACATACTATAATCCAAATGGCAAATGTAATGGTCAAGTATGAATAACTTGCTCTTATAATTGTGAAGTTTCATGCAGTTGTCAAAGAAATGACACATTGTTCACAGAGAACACTAAAGACAGTTAACAGGGACTGAGATAAGGAAACGTAGGTAAAGAGTACAAAGCTTCAGTTGTAAAAGATAAATAAGCCTAAAATCTAATTTACAGCATGAACACAATATAGAAATCTACTGAAAGAACAGATTTTAGATACCTTTACTATACAAACACAAAAGAAGAACTGTGCAATGTCAGATACATACACTAATTTGCCTGACTACAATATTACTATTAACCATGATAAATACCTTAAAAATATACAGAAGTATCAGTTTATATACTTGAAATATATAATACAAAAAAACATGAAAATAAAATTTTTTTAAAAAAACAGCAACTTTTCAGGGCTGGAGCTATGGCGTAGCGGTAAAGCCACTGCCACAGTGCCGCCATCCCATATGGGACATTAAAGATAAACTCAAAAAATAAAACTGAACAAGTGCTCAAAGTAAACATAAGTATATTTTTTATAGCTTTTGAGGTAGAGAAGGCTTGTCAAGAAATTTTACCAAAGCATTAAGTCAAGAAAGAAAAATGAGGGATTTTACTAGGCAAAAAAATTTAAAACTAGCCATAGCAAATATCAACAAAGTAAAAAATAAAGTATGAAAATAAGGGGGAAAAAATTCTGAGCAGATTCAATAAACAATCTTAAGTAAATCAATATCCCAAAAGAAAAATGGGCAAATAATATCAATAACAAATTCATTAAAAAATATAAATAACTAAAACAAATGTGAAACAATACTTTCAAAAAATTTTTAAAGATGTATTAATTCATTTTGAAAGTTAGAGTTAAGGGGCTGGGGAGGGATGGCAGGAGAGATATTCCATTTGCTGGTTTATTGCCTAGATGGCTGCCAAGGACAGTGCTGGCCAGGCCAAAGTAAGGAGCCAGAGGCTTTATCCAGGTCTCCCACGTGGGTAGGAGGGACCCAAACACTTGGGCCACCTTCTACTATTATTCCTAGGCCATTATCAAGGAAATGGATCAGAAATGGAGCAGCTGGGACATGAATTGGCACCCATATGGAACCTTTAAACAAATGTATCAAAACAAAAGCAAAAAAAAAAGTTTACTAATCAGAACAGGATAGTCTACGAAGAATGCTAATATTACTGTTGAAAATTCATGATAAAAGAAATTTTTTTTTTGACAGGCAGAGTGGACAGTGAGAGAGAGAGACAGAGAGAAAGGTCTTCCTTTGCCGATTTTAATAAGCATAATTTGTTCAAATCCTGCTCTAGAGAAATTTGGCATTATTTAGCTCACTTTCTTTTTTTCTTTTTTTGGACAGGCAGAGTTAGTGAGAGAGAGACAGAGAGAAAGGTCTTCCTTCCATTGGTTCACTCCGTAAATGGCCACTACAGCCAGTGCTGAGCTGATCCAAAGCCAAGAGCCAGGTGCTTCCTCCTGGTCTCCCATGCAGGTGCAGGGCCCAAGCACTTGGGCCATCCTCCACTGCCCTCCCGGCCATAGCAGAGAGCTGGACAGGAAGAGGAGTAACCATGACAGATTCCGGCGCCTCAACCAGGACTAGAACCTGGGTTGCCGGCGCTGCAGGCGGAGGATCAGCCAAGTGCTCACTTTCAATGCTCTATCTTGGAATGGATGCTTAGCCTAGCAGTTAAGACACCAGTTAGAATGCCTGCATCCCAACTAGAGTACCTGAGTTGAATACACAGCTCTAGCTCCCAACTCCAAATTCCTGCTAATGCAGACCCTGAGAGGCAACAGTTATGTTTCAAATGGTTGAGTTCCTGCCAACCACATGGGAGACCTTGATTTAGTTCTTAGCTCCCAGTTCAAGCTCTGGTCTAGCCTGGGCAATGAACCTGGTGTCTGTCTCTCTCTCTCTTTCACTCTCTCTCTTTCACTCTCTCAGAGCTCTCTCGTTCTCTTTCCCTCTCAAAAAAGGGAAAATAAAAAAAAAAAAGAAAGAAAGAAAACTGTTTTTTAATGTCAGAGGAGATGTCTAGCCAGCAGTTAGGATGTCCCCAATTCATTATTAGAATGCCTAGGTTCAAACCCATCTATGCTGATAACCTCCAGCTTCCTGCCAATGCAAACCCTAGGAGACAATGTTGAAGGTCCAAATAATTGATTTCCTGTCACTTACATGGAAGACCTGACTTGACTTCTTAAATCCAAGCTCCAACTCCAGTCACAGACTACCATGGGCATTTGGGGAGAGAAATAGGAGACAGTAGATATCACTCTCAAATTTAAAAAAGAAAAAAAAAGTCTTTATCTTTTAAACTAGCAATTTAATTCTCGGTAACTTATCTTAAGAAAATAGCAAAGAGGAGCTCCAAGATAGAAAGTAGGGAGGGAGCTTAGTGCTCTAGTCTATAAGAAGATGGTTTTAAAAAAAAGTGGGAGAGAGTGCAGTCTCAGGGAACAGTTAGGGAGAAAACAGCAGAGGAAACTCAATGCAAATTAGAGGGACATGGTGGACCTACATGGAGGGCATGGACGCTCAAGGCTCCGGCAGCCAAGTGCCTACATACCAGCATTGGAAAGTGAAGTAAGACCAGACAGAAGCAACCCAAGCCATTGGTGCTAAAGCTGCAGTTAGAGCCTAGAGGGAACCCAGCTTGGAGTCCCAGGGGGACAGTGTACCTACCAAACCAGAGGAGAAAAAAAAAAAAGCAGGGACAAGTTTCTTTCTCCCTGATCACTTTAACAGCATCCTGTAACAAGCCCATAAAGCATAGAGCAGGAGCAATTTTAGACATATGTAACAGCTGTGCTAGCTCGTGTCCACACCCAGCAACCAGCAGAGTGGAAACTCCTGACTCGTGGGGAGAACTAACAGGGGGCTGGGAACTTGTGACTGTGGAAAGTTTCTATGCTGGTACTGTGGAAAAAAAACTGAGGCTGTGTGGGAGGACTCACGGTGTGGCTGGGACTTTGGGCAGTCACTGTAGGAAACTCCATACGCTCAAGACTTCCTGGTTACCTGGTAAAGGGCGTTGCTTGGGAATCTGAATTAACAGATTCCTCACTGAGGATAATGAAATTATGACTGGATAATGAAATTATGAGATATATACACTATGGAATACAACAAAGCAGTGAAAACAAAAATGAAATCCAGTCATTTGCAACAAAATGAATGAATCTGGAAAACACCATACTTAGTGAAGTAAGCCAGTCCCAAAGGGACAATTATGATATGTTCTCCCTGATCTGTGAGAACTAATAGAGAACCTAAAACAAAATCTGTAGAGATGAAATTGACACTTCGAGAAGGAATGACTTGACCCTTGTCTTGCCTATCAAGAAAGAGATTCATTTTTTTGTTTTTTTGTTTGTTTGTTTTTTGTTTTCCACATACTATTTGTTAAACTCTTAACAGTTAATATGTGTATAAATTCAACTGAAAATACATCTCAGCAAAAAATAAGAGTGGGGGGGCCCGGCACTGTGGCATAGCAGGTTAAACCACCACCTGCAATGTCGGCAACCCACATGGGCACTGGTTAGAGATCCGGCTGCTCCACTTCCCATGCAGCTCTCTGTTATGGCCTGGGAAAGCAACAGAAGATGGCCAAGTCCTTGGGTTCCTGCACCCCTGTGGAAGACCTGGAAGAAGCTCCTGGCTCCTGGCTTCAGATCAGCACAGCTCCGACCATTGCAGGCAACTGGGGAGTGAACCAGCAGATGAAAGACCTCCTTCTCTCTCTTTCTTTCTCTCTCTTTATCTCTCTCTGCCCCTCCTTCTCTCTGTTACTCTTTTAAGTAATACATAAATCTTAAAAAAAAAAATAAAGTAAGGGCGGGAATAAGAGGGAGGAGGAAGCTTGTAACTGTAAAGCTGTATAGTTCTGCATACGTTCCTATGGACTACTTTTAAAGGTAGAGTTTAAAAACTTGTCATGGGACTCTAAATCTCATTAAGCTTGGTGGTAAAAAAATGCCATATTAATTGTTAAAGTGATCATATTAAGCATTAAAGTGAACATATAGATAAGATTAAGTGTTAAAGTGATCAATAAATAGGATCAAGTGCCTGGTAATGATAACAGATAGAATTAAAAAGGAGATAATGTTCTGACATGGGGAGCAGTCTACACAGCAGACTTATAGAATGACAGTCATTTTAAGTGACACTCTGACATCAGAATCAGCCCTTAAGGCTTCCTGGTCTGGCTGAAAAGCTTGTGAGAGCATTTCAGGCATGGAATGCCAAGACACTGTGGCAAAAAAATGTTCTACATGAAGGATGTCTGTGAGACCCCAGCAGAAAGAAGTGGCCATTAAAGAAGAATGTACTTTTCTCTAGAGAGTGAAAAGAACTTTCACTTTGCTTACGGCCTTCTCCAAATACTGACAGTTTGTGGACTCAAAAGGCTTCCATAGCCTAGGCAGCTCATGTCAAGAGCCTCAGGTGGTCATTGACGTCGTACATAAGAGTGTTAATTTTTAAATTAGCCACAGGAGTCACTGTGCACTAACTCCCCACAAAGGACCTCTGTCTTCAATGAGTTGTATTATGAGAGTTTATGTAAAAGTAGTTCTCAGTGTGTGTGTGTGTGTGTAAATTGCTGAAATCTTTACTTAGTACAGAGTTGGTCTTCTGTGTACAAAGTTAACTGAAAATGAATCTTAATGGAGAATGGGACTGGGAAAAGGAGAGGGAGGAGGATGAGGCATGGGAGTGTGGGTAGGAGGGTAGGTATGGTGGGAAAAATAACTATACTCCTAAAGTGGTAGTTATGAAAATCTATTCCTTAAAAAATAAATTTAAAAAAAAGAAAAGAACCATGTAAATATACAAAATGCCCTGACAAAAACAGCACAGTGCTATTAGACGGGGGGAGGGAGGTGGTAAGAGGGAAGTCAATTAATTATTGACATCCAACTATTTCTATATTAGTAAGCAAAATAAATGGAAAAATACATATTAAAATGTTATCAGAGATTCTCTTTAAGATACAGGATGATCCTCCGCTCTTCTCCTTTTAGACTTTTCTACATTTTTGAAATCTTACGACTTTCTGCAAACAGCTTTCCTTTGGAAATCAAGAGGAAAAAACACAATAACTACTGAAATAAAAAGATTATCTACACATGAATGGAGAAGCTGATGCTAAAATATCACATACTACTACATGCATTCATTGCTTCAAGATTATATACACACTCAAAATAACAAGAAAAACAAAACATTAAAAAAACCCTACTGGAAATGTCAAAACTTGAAAATATACAAAATTCTGGAATACACCAAAATTTCAACAGAGTTGCCTCCAGAGGTATACTATGGAGGCTGCCTAACAATCTATTTAAACTTTCTCACAATAATAGAATGCTATTTCCAAATTAAACAAATACATATTTAAGTTTTAGATACTTTTATTTTACATTCATTACATCAGTAAAAATATGCTATATTAAGTTTACAAAATAGTGCAAAGCAGGAAATTAATTCAGCAGCATAAGAATCTGAAATTTAATATCATTTCAATTGAAAAATGCTTTGGAGTACAAAACAAAGTTAAAGCCACTTAATTTTTCATGTAACTCCAAAAATAGTACATATCTCCTTAATACAGATACTCACCCCATATCTTTCAGCTACAATGTCCTCCAGATTTTTATTTTGTTTCTCAGCCTGTTCCTTCATTCTCTGGTAAGATTTCCTTAGCCAGCTTAATCCACCATCTTCTACTCCTGAAACTAAATTCCAATAATAAATGCTAGTTAGTTACATTATAATGTGGCTATCGTAGAATATTTATTTTATGATGACTTCTAAAAATATAAAATTAAATGTTTTCCTTAAACAAATAAAAATCACAAGCACATGCAAAATCCAACATATATATGAGTGCCTATAAATGTAAGGTATAGAGATTTGCCCTATTAAGGAAAAGATAAAAATATTGTCAAGAAAAGTGAGTCTAAGAGGATGAGGAGAAATGATTAAGATAATTATAATAAATAGAATATGTGAGAAATACTATATCAAGATATAAAACATTACAGAAAATGAGAAAAGTTAGGAATTACTTCTAACTGGGAAGTCAGGGAAAATTCCACATACCAAGCTCAAGAAAATTACCCAGATTAAAATAGAATAAAGATACATGTATCAAGAGGGAAAAGGTACCTCAGATGCAGTACAAACAATAAAGGAGCTGTAGAAGAGAATGCTGAAATATATATTTTATATATATATATATATATACTTTAACTGTGATCACTATTAAGATTTAAATACCTTTAATACTTTATTAAGCTGTTTGTATTTCTTTCTGTACATGCTATACTTCATGTGTAAAATGGAAATCTAATCAATTGTTCGAATGAAAATTCTGTTCCTTAAATTCTTTGTCCCAAAATAAGATGGATTTAAGATCACTCCAGCTTTAAAATTAACAAAAATGCACACACAGGCCCCCAATGGACATGCAGATGAACATCCATAAAAGAATAATCATTCAAAATAATTCCAGCCTGGAAGTAACCCAGGAAATGCCCACTCTAGGAAAAAGGGATACACAGATGGTGATTCATCTGTAAAATACACTACAGCAAGGACAATGTACTGTGGATGAATCCCAAAATGTGTACAACAGCCAGAAGCAAGGATATAACAGATTTTTAGTGCTAAAAATCAGAATAATTGTTACCCTTCTGGTAAGATAGTGACTACAAAGTCCAGAAAGCTATTTCTCAGAAGACACGCTGATACAGAAATAAAATAAAATAAGTATCAGAAGATTAAGATTTTGCTCTTGTTGCTACTACTAAATAGCTGCAAGATGTGAAGCAAGTCATTGACTTCTTTGGACTTTTATTTCATCTCTACACTAAGGCAGCTAGAAATAACTACCTTTGAAAGTCCTTCCAAGTCAAAGACTAACAGAAAGCCAAAAAAATAAAGAATGGAAAAACTCAACAGGAAGAGTAAAATCATCAAAACAACAAAATATATAACAAGAAGTTCTACTAAGCACATGGTAAGAAACAGTCTTCTACCGAAGAATCTAGAGTAACTAACCCTGGACTGTCCTCTGATAATACAGGTAGTAAAAGTCTAGATCACAAAATTAGCCCTATGTAGTACTGGGTCACTGAGCTAACGTATTGCTTTTGCACTTTTAGGTTTCTACAAATAAGATTTCAAAAAGAAATTTGAATAACTACAGTTCCTATTATATAACCCAGCAGAGATATCTCTGTCTATGCTAAAAGGCCAAAGAGAAATTATAATTCTCAGTAACTTTAGTAAAGCTGCTCAATAAAAATTATAAAAAAGCCTTTAAAGAGGCTCTAGGGACATATACACATAAAATATAAAAGAATTTAACAAACAGCCAAAAATATGAAGTATATGTAAGAAGCAGGAAAATATTCTACTAAAAACTAAAATAAAAATATGTTATATTTCATAATACTACCTGAATTAAAATTAAACTTTCCTTTAAATTTCAAAACAACACCTAATGAGTATACAAACACTCTTTAAAAATATCTTATGTAAGCTTATATACCACTTAAGTATTTTGTCTCCATCTGCTGGAAAATAACAGCATTCTCTTAAGATCAATACAAATTTTGTGAATGCAGGCAAAGTAGGAATGTATTTGCAGATACGAACCTACATCTTTAATGTTTACACGTTACTTTTTCTCTTTTAAAAAAGTTATTTATTTATTTGAAAGGCAGAGAGTCACAGAGAGGCAGAGAGAGAGAGAAAGGTGTCCATCCACTGGTTCACTCCCCAAATGGCCACAATGGCCAGAGCTGGGCCGATTGAAGCCAGGAGCCAAGAGCTTCTTCATGGTTTCCCATGTGGGTGCAGGGGCCCAAGGACTTCGACCATCTTCTACTGCTTTCCCAGGCCTTAGCAGAGATCTGGATCAGAAGTGGAACAGCTGGGACTCGAAATGGCACCCATATGAGATGCCAGCACTGCAGGTGGTGACTTTACCCAGTATACCACAGCACCAGCCCCTACAGATTATTTTCATAAAATTTCACAGAATTAATACTTTTCACATTACGTTACAGAATGTAATACAATGAATGCTTTTCCACATACTCACAAAATCACACTTAGTGTTATCCATTTAAAACAGAAACTCAGGAGCTGGCATTGTAGCATACTGAGTAAAGCCACTGCCTGCAAGGCCACCATCCCATGTGGTTCATGTTTTGGGTGCTCTACTTCTAATCCAGCTACCTGGCCTGAGAATGCAGCAGAAGATGGCCCACAAACTTGGGCCCCTGCCACTCACGTGAGAGAGCCAAAAGAAGCTCTTGGCTCTTGACTTCACCCTGGCCCAGTCCCAGTCTTTGCAACCATCAGAGTCTTTGCAGCCTCTTTCAGAGGATGAAGATTCTCTCTCTCTCTGCCTCTCTGTCTCTCCTTCTCTGACTGTAATTCTTTCAAATTAATAAATAAATCTTTAAATAAATAAATAAATCAGAAACAAGTGTTAACATTCTCAATTATAAAAATATGTATTTAATCAACCTGCTCCCAAATATCCCAAATATATCACAATTAAAATAATCTTTCTAAGTACCAACAATTTAAATAAGGCTTCCAAAGACTGCAAATATTTTATCAATGCTTTGTCATATGTAAACTCAGGTCATTCTCCTACGAATATCAGGGTACAAGAAATGCCTCTGTGTCTGCAGTCAAAATTTAGAGATACCTTTAGTAACCGATGACACACCACAGTCTTCTGGTGGAAGGCCTGTTCCACCATCCTTCCAGTATGGATTCAATTCTCTTTCCAGGAGTTTGGACTAGAACAAAACATTTTCAGAAGTCAAAATTGTAAAATAAACCCAATAACAAAAAAATTTATGAATAATGAATCTGAGACCCAGCTGACAACAGCAACCTCAGAAAAATCATTTTAGAACTCCAGACACTTTTCTGTACTCGCAGGAAATAATATCTAAATTCACATTCATTATTTTTACTAAATGCCTACATGTCTCAGAATTGTGACAGAAGTAGAAGATGTAACATCAACAACCCTGTATCAACCCTTGCTAATGCAAGGGAAATAATAAAAAAAAAAACTGATATCTGAAGATAGAAATAGAAAAAGCTAGAGCAGTGCAAAGAATTCAAACCTCTCTCACAATGAAAGATCAAAGACTTCCTCCTAGTAGAAGTAATATGTGCAATCTTAGACCCAATGAGAAATTAGCTAAATTTTTTTTTTGGCAGGTTAGTGGACAGAGAAGGTATAAGGATGCTCCAGAAAGAATGAAGCCTCAGACAAAGAGAAAGCAAAGCACTTTCAGGGAACCGAAAGTAATTCAGATTGGCTATCACTTCAAGTCTAAGGTGTGACAAGAGAGTAGGTTTGTAAATAATCAGGGATGAGGCCAAATGAGCCATTCTAAACTGCTGTTGGGGTTAATATGCTGTCAGCAATGATGACTCATGTATCCACAAACTGACAAAACAAAAAGAACATTCAAAGTACGAAAGATAGGCTAAAGTAGGAGCCAGAGTTGTGATGTAGTGGGTAAAGCCATTCCTCTCCCTCTTCTCTCTCTCTCTCAAATAAATAAAAAGACAAGTGATCTTCTCTTTTTTCAGCAAACTCAAAACAAAAATTATGTCACTTATGTCTTACTGACACAACTGAACAAAACTAGAAACCAATAACAAAAGAAACTATAGAAATTTAGGAATTATACAAAGTGAAAAATACGCTTTTGAATATAATGAAGCATTAAAGAAATCAAAAGGAAAATTTAAATATTCCTTGAAACAAACAAAAATAAAAAAACAGCATTCCAAATCCTATGACATATACAAAAGTAGCACCAAGAGAGAAGATTTTAGCAATAAGTGCCCACACAAGAAAAATGTGAAGATTTCAAATAAATGACCTGACGATGAACCTCAAAGATCCAGAAAAGCAAAAACAAACTAAAGTTAGGAGAGGACAGAGAGATGGATGGATAGATTAGCACAAAAATAAATTAAATAGAGTCAAAAAATCAACAAATCAATGAAAGAAAGAATTGGCCTTTTGAAAAAATAAAATTAAGAAACATCTAGCAAAACTAACAAAAAACACACAGAAGAGAGAGAGAGGGAGAGGAACTCAGATGTATAAAATCAAGCTGAAAGATGAGATATTAAGAGTGAGCATCTGATCTACCAGTAAAGACATCAGTTAGGACACCGGGATCCCATATTAGAGCTTGTGGGTTCACTCCAGCTCCTGATTCCAGCTTCCTGCTAATGCAAAATTCTGGGAAGAGCAGTGATGACTCCAGTGTTTGGGTTCATGATACCCAAATGAGAGATCTGAACTCGGAGAGATCTGGATCAAGACAGACTTGCATAAGTTTATTAGTTCCCAGCTGACAGACCACTGGCCATTACATGCACTTTGGGAGTGGGCCAGCAGTTGGGATCTTTCTTTTCCTCTCTTCCCCCACTTTCCTTTCAAATAAATAATAAAGGGAAAAAAAAGCTGGGATATTACTATTGGTACTTCAGAAAATACAAAGGATCATTAAGGACTACTATGAACCAGATATCAACAAATTGGAAAGCCTCTGAGAAATGGATGAATTTCTGAACACATACAACCTACCAATATTGAACCATGAAGACACTGAAAATATGAACAGATCAATAATGAATGAGACTGAATCACTGACAAAAAAGCAGACCAACAAAGAGAAGTCCAAAACAAGAAAGATTAGCTGCTGACTTTCTAACTTTTAAAATCCAAAACCAATTAGGTAAGAGAAAGAAATAAAAGTCGGGGCCGGCACCATGGCACAGCAGGTTAAAGCGCTGGCTTGAAGCGCCGGCATCCCATATGGGCACTGGTTCTAGTCCCGGCTGCTCCTCTTCCAATCCAGCTCTCTGCTATAGCCTAGGATAGCAGTGGAAGATGGCCCACGTTCTGGGGCCCCTGCACCCACATGGGAGACCTTGAAGAAGCTCCTGACTCCTGGCTTCAGATCGGTACAGCTCCAGCCATTGCGGCCATCTGGGGAGTGAACCAGCAGATGGAAGACCTCTCTCTCTGTCTCTCTCTCTGTAACTCTGTTTTTTCAAATAAATAAAAATCTTTAAAAAAAAAAAAAAAAGAAAAAGAAATAAAAGCCATACAAGTAGGAAAGGAAGAAGTCAAATAATCCCTATTTGCTGGTGACATTAATCTACATATACAAAAACCTAGACTTCAAAAAAAGACTACTAAAATTGATAAAAAAAATTCATTAAAGTTTTGGGATACAAAATAAACACATGAAAATCAGCATTTCTATACACCAATAACAAACTTTCTGAGAGAGAAATTCTAAGAGTAATCACATTCACAACAGCTATAGAAATAAAATACATTTACAATGATGTAAATGACCTCTATAATGAAAATGACAGAACATTCAAGAAAGAAATTGAAGGAAACACACAAAAAATGGAAACACTTCTCACAGATTGAAAAAATTAGTATTGGGGCCAGCGTAGTAGCACAGCAGGTAAAGTCGCCACCTCCAATGCCATCATACCATATGGGAACCTGTTCAAGCTTTGGTTGCGTATTTCAGACTTCATAGTGAGCTTCAGGCACAATGCCATCCCAGGTTCTCCCAAGAGACCACACAGACTCTTCTTCCCACTCTGTTCATGAGGTCTCATGCTTCCAGGGCGACCCTGGACATCAGTGGGCAAATGTGCATTGATCTCAGTAGGCTCTGATCCCTACTTTTCCTGTCAAGGGACAGGGAGTGCTAGAAAGCCAGAAGCCAAGAGTTTCTTCTGGGTCTTCCACGTGGGTACAGGGGCCCAAGGACTTGGGCCATCTTCTACTTTTTTCCCAGGCCATAGCAGAGAGCTGGATTGGAAGTGGAGCGGCTGGGTCTCTAACTGGCACCCAAATGGGGGGCCAGCACTGCAGCCAGTGGTTTTACCCGCTATGCCACAATGCCAGCCCCTAAATAAATTTTTTTAAAAATGAGTATTATTAACATGTTCATACTACCAAGTATGTGTAAGTGTTTTACAGATTCAATGCAATCCCCATGAAAATACAATGACATTCACCATAGAACTAGGAAAAAACAACTGTAAAATTCATATGAAAGCGCAAAAGATGCTGAATAGTCAAAGAAATTCTGAACAAAAAGAACAAACCTGAAAGCATCGCAATACCTGATTTCAAGATATATTACAAAGCTACCATAACAAAACAGTAAGGGACCTGTCACCCTACACAAAAAAATCAACTCAAAATGGGTAAAACATCTAATTGTACAACCTGAAACTATGAAACTACTATAAGAAAACATATATGAAACACATCAAGACATTGGTATAAGCAGTGACTTTTAGATAAGATCCCAAAAGCACAACACAAGCAAAAATAGACAAGTGAGATTATATCAAAGTAAGAAGCTTTTGCACAACAAAATGCAGAGTGAAAAGACAACTTACATGATAGGAGAAAATATCTGCAAACTACTCATCTGCTAAGGGATTAATATCCAGAATATACAAAGAATTTAAAAAAATACACAATTCTGTGCACTTACTCCTCATGTAGGATCTCTGTCCTTAATGTGATGTACATTGAGATTTAATGCTATAACGAGTACTCAAACAGTATATTTCACTTTGTGTTTCTATGGGGGTGCAAACTATTGAAATCTTTACTTAATGTATACTAAACTGATCTTCTGTAAAAAAAAAAAAAGAAAAGAAATTATCAATTCCCAACTTGACTCTCACTGGGATTAAACATGACAATAGGTCTGATCTGATTTCATCATCATTTAAAAAAAAAATCATCTATTATTTTTCACTTTATGTTTCTGTGTGGGAGCAAACTGTTGAAATCTTTACTTAATGTATGCTAAACTGATCTTCTGTAGATAAAGAGAATCGAAAATGAATTTTGATGTGAATGGAAGGGGAGAGGGAGTGGGAAAGGGGAGGGTTGCGGGTGGGAGGGACGTTATGGGGGGGAAGCCATTGTACTCCATAAGCTGTACTTTGGAAATTTATATTCATTAAATAAAAGTTAAAAAAAATACACAATCCAGTTAACAAATGGGCAAAGGACAGATACTTCTCAAAAAAGAAACATAAATGGGTTACAATATATGAAAAAATGTTCAATACCATTAGCCAACAAGGAAATATAAATCAAACCACAATGAGTTACCATTTCACTCTAGTTAGAATAGCTATTATCAAACTAACAAATGCTGGTGAGGTTGTGGGAAAAGAGGAACTCTTATGCATTACTGGTAGGAATGCAAATTAGTACAAGCCATTATAGTCTACAGTATGGAGGCTCCTCAAGAAACCAAAAATGGATCTATCATGTAACTCAGCTATCCCACTTCTAGATATATACTTGAAGTACATGAAAAAAGCATATGAAAAAGAAAACCTACACTCTCATATTCACTGCAGTACTATTCCCAAAAGTCAAGTTATGAAATCAATGTATGCATTCATTGTTTAATGAGTGGATAAACAAAATGTGGCAAAATACAAAATGGAATACTATTTAGCCATAAGAAAGAATGAAACCTGACATCCGCAGCAAAATGGATGGAACTGGAAATCATTATATGTATATTAAATGAAATAAGCTATATACAGAACAACAAATATCACATGTTTTCTCCCATAGGTGGAAGTGAAAAAAATCAGTCTATCTGTACTTAGAATATCGAGTACTAGAGATTGGAAAGGTTAAGGGGAGAGGAGATAGAGGAAGGTTGGATAACAGGTACTAAAACAGAATTAA